TCACGGAAGTCATACAAAGAATTTTTGGGAAGTTATCGCAGTGAGTGCTCAAAAACCGTTTTTTTTTGCAAATTAAAATCACTTTATCCTGGATAATTTTTCAGTCTTCTGATCGTTATGCTTAAAACTCCGATCATTTTACCTAAAAAAATTTGGAAAAAAAATAATCATGCAGAAAATAACTCAAATGCCACTTTTTCACTTCTTCCAGCAAATAACTCTGTCAATTTTGCTCTAATCATCGATAAATTTCAATAATTGTTATTTACTCTGAATATTTCCTGAATTGTATGGTCTACTCAGGGAGCAATTTGCGACTTCATTTTTTCTGATTTTGCTGCGATATCTACCCACATTTGAATTCAATTCAAGAACAACCTATATAATTTGTCAACGAAAACTGTCAATTATGGTCGGCAGTTGTAGCTTGCCGTCGAAACTTAATCTTTATTTAACTTTAAAACAATTTTGAAGCTTTTTGAAAACGCTTCACAATCATACTGTACAGCGAAACCGTTTGAAACTTCTCAGTTTGAGGAAAAATAGCAGTCCCCTGAAAACTGTTTTAACGAATAAACAGAAAAATATGAGCTGGGTGGAGAACGCAGAAAATTGGTGTAAAAATTTCCGCTAGCTCCACGCGTGATTTAGTTTGGACTGTTGAATACAATAAACTTATCGGTGGAAGAGCAGAAATCTGATTTTTCTACTGATTTTACAAAAATTGCTGAAAAACTCAACTCAAAACTGACAAACAGATATGTGAACTGTAAAACACAATTCCAAAATTCAATATATCAATGACTCTCTCTCATTATAAGCTTTGGATCTATTTAACTGTTCCTCCCCATAGTACCTCGTTAAGATAACCACCCATATAAGAACTAAATCAATACTTAAGCCTAGTCAAAAATTCTACTTTATTTTTACAAAATTTCCCCATGAAAATCGGAAAAATCGGAAGCGCATTCAGATAGCATTAAAAGCAGAAAACCTCGTCATTTTTACGGACATTTTTAATCTGATATTTTGATCGGTGAAGCTAATTTTGATAATTGGGTAAAAAATCAAAAAAATACGACTAAATTGAAGTGTAGAAGCATTATGTTTTTGTCTCGGGTTTGTTTTCCTACTTTAACCTACGGGTAATTATGAGAATAAACAAATTTCGAAAAACTATTGGATAAATTAGAGAAAATTAAGGTGGCTTCTTTAAGATATGGCAAAAGGGTGATCTGATTTGAACCCTTTGATAAGTAATTGCATGGTTAGTTTTGGTGGCGGCAATAAAGCAGTGTTTGTCTCTCCTGTAAGCAACGGCCATCAAACTGGTTGACCTCAAACCACCACCAACTTTAGCTCAACAAACTCGGCTAACCTTGTTCCTTGTCTAAAGTAGCCTCTCTAAAGCACCACATGTTTATAGTCAGTACTGACAGGTCAAGGGAGTCGGGATCTTCCTCAGGACATCCATTCTTTCCCCAGTTCTTTTCATTCTTACAATTAGGCATCCAGTAAGTGAACTGAGACATGTGATTTATCTTCTCAGAACTGACTTTCTCCAATTTCTTTTTAAACTCGACGTATTTGTCTAAAATTTCAATCAATTGAAAAAACGTATGATGCAAATCTCTTAGTTATCGTTGCTGTTGAAAATAAATTATTGAAAACAGGTATTTTGATCTATAGTTTTAGTATAAAAGAACCTAGTACTGAGCTTTGTCTATTTCGTAATCCAGTTCTTTTTTCAACTTTTTGGTGTCTTACTACTTTATTATTTATTGGCGTGTTCTTTAAAAAATGTAAGTTCTTCACTATGGCACCAATAAAAAAATTTTGGTCACCAAAAATTAGATATCGTAAAATAGTACCAAAATGGGAATTTTTTGTTGTCCAGGTGGTCGAATTCCTGAGTGTGAAAAGCAAAGCAATTCAAAAATCCGACAAACAGAAATTATAAATTAAATAAAGAAACGAATTAAATCGGGAATTATTAACCTGAGATCTTTTTCAGTGACACAAATAGCACTGGGTGAGGTTTCTGCGTTCGATGATTTTAACACACAACTATCGTTTTTAACTTCCCAATGAGTTTTTTGAACTGACAAGGAGTCATATGCTCTGCTCAAAACCATACATTGTGACGTGCCTTTGTGAGTCGGACCTCAATGAGCAAATATCATCAACCGCTTCCCAAATTTTTTTATTTAACCCAAATTTATACCTCAGAAGGTGAAAGTTTTTGTAGACTTAACGATAAAGAATTGAATATTGAAATTTATTTGTGACATTTTTAAAATTTTCCCTTTTTTTCAGGCTCTTTCAACTTTAGAGGATTTCTGGACTATGGTAAGTGCAATTTATGGAGGGGTTTTGTTAAGAATAAATATTTATGATGGGAATTCTTATTGAAAAGCAGGTCCGAAGCACTTGGATCAGAAGAAGCTTGAGAGTCATCCACCGATTCAATCCATGCCGATTTAACCCCGTACTTTCGATTCAAGGCATCGTAGCCATTTTGACTCAGTGGTTTCAAAAGAGATGCTCCCCTAAAACAAAACAAGATTGCGCTCTGAATGTTTCGCTTGCCCTTCGACGTATCCGAGGTAGTTTTTTTTAGACAAAAACCCTAAAATTCTTCATTCACAACAATCTTATTCAATGATGCACCATAAAAATTGCAAATTCGAAACTATAAAGTTTTCAAAAGATTCAAAGATTTTGAGATTTCAGAACTTGAAACTTTTGAAATTTTTCCAAAGACTAAGTATCAACTTGAACTTCACAATATCAGAGCAAACTTCATGTTTATGAACAGAAACAAAAAATAAGTAACAGAGACAATTCATAGAGATTGCGTTTTTGTTAAATACACTCGTCTTTTTATTCCGATCATTTGAAAAATAGTGAGAAACTTTGTTCTAGTTTTTATTTTAATTTTTCGTTTTCCAAATCAGGTACCATAATAAATCATTGGACTGGGTTGAATGATATATCATTTTAATTCTCTCAATTCGAACGGCTCACAAAAATTCCAAGAACATTTTCCAATGTCGACAAAAAATGGTTCGATTTTTAAAAATTGTTGATCTAATTTTGAGCTAATAATGTGAGCGTTCAGGCTTACAATAGCTTTTTTTATCTTCAATTTAAGTCGTGAAAACTTGGTTTCACTCGAGTAGAAATTTTTTGAGTTTTACTGCCATTTTAGAAACAAAAATTTCAAAAACTCAAAGAAACTCTATTAGAATTTCCAGTCATTTTTCTACGAAAACTGTTTTCCATTTGGCCTAGTTTGCTATAACTGTCATAGTTTTTTTTCATCGATATGCCATAGTTTACTATGATTGTAATAGTTCTTTTGTTCATAGATATGCCATAGTTC